TCTTATGTGAAACACTTTGCAAGCTGGTTTTCATTTCAGGGAAGTTTTTCAGCTGTTAGTATGTTTTATACTTGTTTAATAAAAAGTTTAACTGCACTGTTGAAAATGTGGTAAGTATGAAGAGCCAGCAGAGAGTAGGAGAAATGCAGAAATTAACACAGTCAATGTGCGAGTTGAGAGAAGCTCCCGCTGAGAGATGGAGAAGAGCTAGAGCCTGAAGTGTAGGAAGAAGGAAAGGACTATCCTTCCCACTGTATGTGCGTGTTCCAGCAGATGTCTGCAGAAAAAAGAAAGCAAACTCTGTAAGAGGCAAGAGCTTGATGAGGTGGAAAAGTATCTCAAGAAAAGGTATCAAAACGTGAGAAAGAAATAACAGTGATTTTCAGCAAAGAAACTGGGAAATGCAGGCTCTGTACCTTGACATGTAAATGCTGAAGTGCGGTGCTGAGTTATTACCCCATTTATTGTCCTCTTGCATCTCTTTCTCTCTAATGCTTTAAGTTAGTTAAGGCATCAGTCCAGCTAAGAACAATCTTGTACATGACAGTTTTCTAAAGCATTTTCTCACAAAGTGGATCTTAGCTCAGTGGACCAAACAATTGAATTGATAGTGTAAGAAGCAAGCATGAAGGAACTGGTTAGAATAGTATTGGATAGGTATTGGTGATTTTGGCCTCCTTATAAAACAGTTTCCAAATCAAATGCTTTTTTTTGGGGGTTGGTTTTTTTGTGGGTGGTTTTGTTTTGTTTTTTTTTTTTTTTTGTTACCTTGTTGGTTCTATCAAAGTGTTCTCCATCATCACAAGTGTGATAATCCAAGTGCAGGACATACCGTGCCTTGACAAGTCATGCCTTCTTTAGTTTACAGAATAGATTTGAACTCTGAGGTGTCTTCTACCAAAGGTGAATCACACAGCTTAAGAGTAGGGATGGGCTGCAAGGTTTGAGTACTGATGCCAGGTGCAAAAAGTATAAAAGGTAGTCTGCTTTGTGCTGTCTCAGGTACTGCCTATTTTGACAAGCAGGAAAGGATGCAGAAATGACTTTGTGGCTTATAGTCTTAGATTTGTGGAGCCATAGTCTTCCCTGAATAGAATGGATTTAGATTTCTACTGTGTCTGACTTGCCTCTGGCTTGAAATAGGTCATCATCTTTATTGCTTTGCAAGGGAGTGCTTATTTGCAAAATTAATGCACAATTATCCACAATAGGCAGATACAAGTTGATATATTCCAGTATATCTGGAATATTTCCAGTCTTCTGGCTGCCTGTGTCCATGTTAGCCTGCGTCAGCTTCCTTGTGTCAGCAGCACTAAAAGGAGAATCAAATCTTATCTCTTGTGATAGAGAATAACCTTAACCTAGTGCTACCAGATAGGACAGAAAAATTTATTTGAGGTTTTTTTTGGAAAAAATGATGAGATTATCCAAGCTGTAAAGGATTCATTACTTTTTTGTGGAACTAGACTGAACCAGTGTATCTCAAATAACCATGCTTCTTCCTGTGGGAAGGGACTGGACTTACATGTGGAATGTACTAGGTGCATTGCAGATTTAATTAATAGTAAGATTTCTAGCAACTGTCTCTTAGGCTGTCATTGATTTTTGTATTTCTGCAAGATACTTGGGAGTTGTGGTTTTACGGGTTCCCACAGGTGTGGAGTTTAAGTCTATTGTAGTGCTCATAAGAGTAATAAAAAATAGGTCAGTTCTTTCTTGATGACCAGTAGGCTTCTTCAGTTTTCTTTTAGATCTAGAGAAAATGCAAATCAAGTGTGGATAAAAGTATTACAGTGAGATCTCAAGGGCAGAATGGTATTAGTGTGTATGCATTTAACTTGAAAAACTTGGGTTTATTTTGTTGTCGAGGAACAAGGTTGTAGTCTAGAACGGATTGCTGAAAGGATGCTCTATTTCATGGTTTTGCTGTCTCTGTTGTTGGGTGGTTCTTTGCTGCTGTCCTGGAATGTATGTGCTTATGGGGAGTGAGACATGAAAATCCAAAACAATTTTTGCACACTTAGGTTTTATTCGGACATTTGAAAGAAACTCCCGTATGTGGGTGAGTGCTACTGAAAGGTTTAATTCTTAATAACCTAGTGCTTCAGGGTTTTTTCCACAGAAATGATGGGGATATGGTTTGGCTTCAAGTCTGTAAGGCTGGGGTGGTGCACGTACTGCAAACTTAGCTGAGATGAATTATCTGAACAAGCAGGTCTGCAAGGAGAAACGACAGGCAGAAGTTGCTGGCTCTTCTGGCTGTCTAAGTGCAACAGGCATGGTGTATGTTTTGTGTGCTGTAAGCTGTGGGTGCTGTGGTGTGCAGAAGCGGACATTTTCAAGTCGCATGACATTGCTTGCAAAGAGCACCACTTCCAAATGCTAGTTAGAAAAAGGTTTGTGTTCCTTCAGTTGAACTGAAGTAGTCACAGATTGTGCATAGTAAAATGCAATGTATTTGCAAAGGGATTGATTCTCAAGGAGCTAGCTAGTTAAGGCTTGCTCTGGACCACAAAAAACCCTATGTGTAAGCATATTCACTGATATGGGAGGCCAGAAGGTAATTTTTCTGTAAGTAAAAATAAGTAGAAGTTGCTACTTAAAGAGAAATTGTGAAGTTTGGAAATTTGCCATGGCATATGTGTTCTTGATTAGGGATAGAATATGCTAGTCAGTACTGGATTTGTGAAACTTTCTTCAGCTTGTCAGAAGACTTTTGATGAATATGGCAAACAAAATAGGTTTTACATTTCTGGGAGCAACAAGTAATGATTTGTTGCTATGGTTGACTTTGATAAATTTCCCTCTGCCTTCAGCGTACTTCTAACTGTGTGAATAGCCTTTCAAAGATGGTAGAAATCCATATTAAGTTTGCCTGTAAGATTCGCTTGCTGGAAGGCTCTTGGTTTAGTGCACAGATGTACAGTAGGTAATTCAGGGCACCATTTTCAGCTCCTCTGAGCAATGTTGTTTTCTATTAGACTTTAATTTCAGCTTCTTCAGGTGAAGGCATTTTTAGCATAGCCTGGCAGCTGGCAGTAAGTTAATTTTATTTTTTTTTTAAGTTTATTTTCTTCATTAGTCACTCAGATTTTGCTCTTGTCACAATACTAACTTAGCAGGAAGATTTCTGCCCTTGTTAGAGGCTGCTTGATTCTCTTGCCAACACCTCCTAAATAAAATGCTTCTGTTGTGCATATTGCTGTTGCTCAGTTATATTTGATATCCTGTATCTTTACTGTAAGAGAAGAGAGAAGCAAGGTTGTGGTTATCGACACAGGCTAGAATATAACATATAAGCAAGAGAATAATTCATTATCAATATTCGGAAAAAGTATTTGGAAACTCATCTGTCAGGGGTTCATTCTACTCAGTCCTGGTGAGGTGTCACCTGGAGTGCTATGTCCAGCTCTGGGCTCCCAGTACAAGAGAGACACGGAGCTACTGGAGGCAGTCCAGTGAAGGGCCACAAAGATGATTAAGGGTTGGTGAAAGGAAGGTGGAGCCAGGCTCTTTTCAGCAGTGCCCAGTGACAGCACCAGAGGCAGTGAGCAGAAAGTGAAACACAGGATGTTCCCTCTGTACATCAGGAAACACTTTTACTGTGAGGATGACTGAGTGCTGGCACAAGTTACCCAGAGAGGCTGTGAGTCTCCATCCTTGGAGATACTCAAAAGCTGTCTGGACATAGTCCTGGGCAACCTGCTTGTGGAATGGGTTGGACCAAATGACCTCCAGAGGTCCCTTCCAGCCTCAACCCTTCTGTGATTCTGGGTTACTTTGTCAGTGTAGCATCTTCCCTCGACACCTTCCCCATTGCCAGGCATTTATGTAAATTGTTGATGCTGGTTGTAGTCCAGTACACGTTGAGGAAGACTTCTGGTGGGTAAAATTGCCAGAACAACCAATTCATAGAAGTTGCGTTAAGTGCCAATGAAACCTGTTTCTGAAGGTAATCCTGAGATGGTGCCTCTTAGTTGCTGGGAATTTTCTGTATACGCACCCAGGCTAACAGCATGTTACCAGTTACACAATAACTGAACATCCTGAACTCTTACATTGAACAGGTTAAATGAAATAGTGTTGATTCGAGCTTGTTCTTTTCACCAAGCATAGAATTAGCCCTTGCCATCTTGAGAAGAATTAGCAAAATACAGGAATCCTTTTCTTTGCTGCTGGTTGGCAGTTCTGACTTCAATGACATAAACTGATTGCCAGTTGAGAAGCAAGCTGACCTCCATAGTTGCCTCAAGGGAGTTTACATACAGAATATATGAAGAGCACACTCCTTTTTTGATGTCCCCCCACTCTCCTGACTCTTTGTACTCTGGGTTGCTTGTTCCTGATCAAACTATTTATGCTTGACTGTAGCTTCTTGATAAAATCTTTGTTTTGGTATCTGTTCTAAAACTTGGGCTAGAAGTGAATCAGTTATTCATAGAATCATAGAATGGTTTTCTACGTGCAGTGGAGGTAAATGTATTTCTCAGATTGTGTCCAAGATCTATAAGCAAACCTGAAGATTACACAGAGTATAAAAGTCAGGGTATAAGAAGGTGCTCTTTAAGATCAAGACAATCTATTCCCATGCAAATAGAACACTAGGTCTAGGTTTTGTGAATGCCATTTACACAGATTACTTAAGGTTTGATAGAAGAACTCCTTCACTGAACTTTGTAGTACTGTAGAAATCGATTTGCAAAGTCTTGCAAGGAAAATACATAATATGATTTTGATAAACATGAAAAATAAACTATTATTAAGTTGTTTATTCAATGGTTCCTGAATTTTAAAACCAAATGTAATTTTCCTCTGCTTATCTCATATCATTGCCAGTGGATGAACAGGGTAGCTTTGTGCCCTCTTTTAGTGATAATTAAAATACTTCTATTATGGACTTCTGTTGTTAAGTATCAAGAATATGTTTGGGGGGTTTTTGGTTTTAGGACAGATTCTGTCGGTTCTTTTGATTTTAAAATCTTTAATTTTCTTTTAGGTGTGGAATATCAAACAGATGATTAAATTAACACAAGAACATATAGAGGCACTGCTAGACAAATTTGGAGGAGAGCATAACCCACCATCGATATATTTAGAGGTAAGTTTACACTGAAATGAATGTGGTTAGATTAAGGGTGTGTTATCTTAATGTTATATGAAGCATCTTATGTTAAAACTGAGAATACCTGTAGTTAAAGAGAATATTCTCCTTTTGTATTAGAAACTTAACTCTTTCCATGGAGACAGAAAGGAACTGTATGGGATTCCGGATACGCATCAGTAAGGGAAGATCAGTGGCATGATCTAATAGCTATGTTGGTGCAATTGAAATGTCAAGTATCCTTTTTAGGTGCTTGGGGAGGGAGGAAGACTGTGTATAATAGAAATTATCTCTTTGAAAAGTAATCATGTGGAATCCAAAAAATATATTGGTAGAAGGGAACTTCATAAAGAAATAAATGAAATTGTAGGGTGCAGTAATATCTTTAAGATGTGTTTAATTTGTAAACTAACTACAAATTAAGTCTCTGTATTTTCATCACTCCATATTCATGAAGTTTCATTGACATAAGATCATTAATATCTTAAAAAAGGACTGCAAACATAAGTTACATCTATTAGGAATTGAATGGGTATCACTTGCTCCAAACTCTGCCCCTTGGTTCTCTTAAGTAGGAGGTCAACCAGATTTCTTTTGTAGTCTTTTCAGTTGTGATTCCTGCCTAACGACACTGGGTAATTAAAAATAAAGATCTCATTATTTGAGGTACTTCTAGCTTTTATCTTAATATGTCAGAGCAGGGCACTAGCTTGATTGTACAAATGTTGACACACCGTCCGTAACAGTTAAGGTCAAATGAGGCCCTCTAGTTGCTTTACTTATTGCTAATGTGAAATGGGAATATTGAATGAGTAATACCCACTATTTTAACCACTTAATATATTAACGCACCTCTGTTTTTACATGAACCGGTTCATTCCATATGTCTGGATTTAATATTGCCACATGTATGTTGGTTTCATTAGATTGTGTATCAAACCTCAATAATAATGAGTTTAATCTGTACTAAGTCTGGATTTTGGGTAGTGAAATCATTAGTTCATTACAGCCACTTGTCACTTGTATGTAAATTAAAACTTAGGGCCCTAAACTGGAAGCTTTTTGATGATTCTGTAGTCCATTGGTAGGGAAGCAGGCATTTACAGTCATAAATATGTACCAGGAAGCGATTACAATAGTGTAAAGAGTGTGTTAAGTCTGAAATAGTCAGTGACTATGAACTATGAAGCTTGAAGTAGATTTGCAAGTTTAATGGTTCCATGTGTTGCTGAGATGAAAGCGCCTCATCAACATGGTAGGGAAGCCCTGCAAGGTGGAGCAGGGTGTTTCCCCTTCTGCATGAGTTCTGCTGGATTGTGAAGTGGGTCTTGTGAGACGTAGAGCTGGTACTGACTAGGGAGCAGTAAGTCATTGGGAGGAAGGTGGAAGTGACTGAGATTCTGTTTTTTCAGTTGAATTATCTCATGAGACAGTGAGTCCTGTGGAAAGAGCTCACCATCATTTAAATGAAAAGCCAATGGATTAATTTGCCATCCAGTTAGTAGCTTGAACTTGGTCATGATGAACTCCAGTGAGCCCCAAAGGTGTGGATAAGCTTAGGGAAGGGGAGGAGCAAAAGCTTGCAGCCGTGTGCGAAGAACCTGGGAAAGGAGGTGAGAGAAGAGGGGAACTTTCTATTTGGATAGTCACTAGCTTAGATTAGGTTATCTTCAAATGGACTGACTGAAGGGAATAGGTATAAATGCTACAAACCAGACATTTGTTTAGCGTGTAGATATCATGTGGCAGAGCTAAATCATGAAGGAAATTAAAAAAATATATTACAGAGTAACTGGCACAGTAAGAAGCAAGGTTACTGTCTACTCTTAACTGTTCATTTCATCCCAATGCAGTTATCTAGTGTATCCTGTGCCTTTTCCCACCTTTTGGCTGCATTTTGCTTGGTCAAGAACAGGGGTTGCTTTCTATTGTCAGAATTTACTTTGCAGCAATTTACCTGAATCTAACCTGTCACTGCTAGAGCTAACATTTTGATTTTCTGTATTCTTCTACCTGTCAGAAAAAGGGCCCAAAGGAACCCTGGTAGCAAATGGAAGGACAGAACTATATATAAAAAGCTTGGAAATCAGTATGATATAAAGTGTGGAAGAACAGATTTGCTTCTAGGAAATGCAGAACTAAGGAAACAGTAATTTTGATATGAATAAAAATAACAGGAGAGAATGTAGAATACATGTGAGTAACTTAAGTGGTTCAATAGATGACCTGTCTCACATCTGTTAGAAATAGCAAACTCTGTATGTACAAGAGCCACTGTATGATGTTGGGCCTGTTGCTCAAGTTCCATGCCTGGGCATCATCACTGACTTCTATGTCATGACCTCTCTTTCTCCCCAGGCTTTCACATCTAGGCTGTGTCTAGGTATTTGAAGCTATGGTCTGTGTACTATCTCCAGAGTGCTTGAACAGGAAAGTAATGTAACTCGTACTTTGTCCATTGCCTTCTGACTTCTCTGGTTTTATTGTTTTGCTGAAGTCTTATTTCTGGCTGTAAGTGTAATATTGCTCTGCATTTACCCAGAATCTGTATGAGTAATCTTGCTAGTCTGCTACTTGGACTGCATCACCTTTCGCTTTGTTTCCTTTGAGTCACAGAATAGTTTGGGTTGGTAAGGGACCTTTTAAAGGTCCCTCCTGCAGCGAGCATCTTCAACTAGGATGGGTTGCTCAAAGCACGATACAGCCTGACCTTGAATATTTCCAGGGATGGGGCATCTACCACCTCTCTGGGCAACCTGTTCCAGTGTTGCACCACCCTCATAATAAAAAATTTCTTCCTTCTATCTAGTCTGAATCTGCCCTCTTTTAGTTTAAAGCCATTATGTCTTTTCCTATTGCAACTGTCCCTGCTAAAAAGTGTCCCCATCTTTGTCATAAGCCCCCTCTAGGGTACTGGAAGGCTGCTATAAGATCTTCCCAGAGCCTTCTCTTCTCCAGGCTGAACAAGCCTAACTTTTTCAGCCTTTCCTCATAGAAAAGGTGCTCCATCTCTCTGATCATTTTTGTGCCCTTCCTCTGGAGCCACTCCAAGAGTCCATGTCTTTCCTATGCTGAGAACTCTAGAGCTAGATGCAGTACTCCAGGTGGGGTCTTGTGAGAGCAGAGTAGAGGGCGACCTGCTGGTCATGTTTCTTTTGATCCAGCCCAGGATACAGTTGGCTTTCAGGGCTGCACCTTGTCGGCTCATGTCCAGCTTTTCATCCACCAGTACCCCTAGTACTTTTCTCCGGGGCTGCTCTCAATCCGTTTGTGTCCCCGGCTTGTTTTTATATTAGTTTTAAAATCCTTCTGCTGCTGTAATCATTTTGCATCTTCCTTAAAGTGTGAGGGACTCTTAAGGACTCCTGTAGATTGTGCCTGTTGATCATCTCGAGTGCTATCAGTAAGCATGTTGTCTGCTTTTCTTAGCAAAAATTGAAATTAGCCAAAGCTAATTCCTAGATAAGTACCTGCATATGAACACTTTTGCTTATACCCACATTGCACTGTTGTAAACATCTAGTTTTATTGTAATTCTTTCTGGCTTTTTGTTATGCTCTGAAAAGCTTGACAGCTATCCATCCACCTTTCAGTACAATAGAGTATGTTCAGTTCTTTTGTACCCTGCATGGCTTTTATATCTTTTATTTCTTATGCATCTTACCAACTGCTCACATTCACAGAACTTGCAGCATCCAGTATGCTGGCTCCTGGCCTGCGTTGGAGCTGCCTCTGCAGACCTGCCCAGCACGGATGCAACTGAGCCAGGCAACAAAGCTGACTTCGAATTAAAAGTGGAAAGGAAGGGGTGAGGGGAGCAGAAGCAGGCATGGGAAAACCAAAGAACTGAACAGGAAAATTAATTATGAAAATTGAGCATTCGAAGGCTATAGTAAAATTATGTGTGCATTGAATATAAAACATATACCTCATTTAAAAATAAAGAACTTAGGCCTTAGTTACCGTTGCTTAAGAAAATAGAAGCTTTTGTTTCTGTGCTCATCTGAGAGTGAAAAGACAAAAAACGGGGTGTTTTTGCAGGTTTTTTTCTTTTTTAGTTCTGAGGAGGGTGTCAATGTGTTTTACATCAAAAGAACTTTAAAACTGACAGCTGTTGTTGCAGCCATCATTTCAGGTTTCATCAATTGACTGTGAAAGAGGAATGGATCTCTTGAAATATCAAAAGTGATTGATGTGTATGATGTTGAGTTCAGCATATATTTAATTATTCCTGCAAGAGAGGGTACTGGGATTCAGTGGTATATCCATACTCATCTATCACTCCTCAGTGATGGCCTTAGAAAGGTGAGTGTAGAGCACAGGGAGCAGGGCCTGAAGCCTGAGAGGGCTATGGGTGAAAAGCAGAGAGACTTCTCAGTGTTGTGTGTATAAGGTACAGGGGTAGGAAACAATATGAACAACAGAAAGAAAAGAACATATGTCATTAACCACACAGTTTTAATTGTTATAACCAGTAATAGCTGTGGGAATCTTATCAATGTTCTCTAATTTGATTACAAGAAAAACTTTTCTGTTTGTTCCAGATGGAGGAAATAATGAATGTTGTAAGCAATGCTTATATTAAAATCTAAAAATGGCTTGTAGCTAAAATTCTTTCTTGGGTAATCCTAGTTCTTAACTTCTTCCATCCCCCGCGTGTGAGCGTGTATCTCAGATCTAACAGACCCCTGGAAATCACTGTCAAGTGTTTGAAATAATTGCTTGACTCAGAAGATGTAGAAATATCATTAACAGCATTTTTCTTTTCTTCTGGAAAAGAGGCTGCAGGAGCTCCTCGATAGGTTGTACCACTCTTTTTGGAAGCACTCTGTATCACAGCAGCTGAAAACATCAATGGTTTTTGTCTTCCCACATAATTTCTTAGTGCGTTATATCTGTCCTTGAAGTGCTGTTTCCCAAAATACACAGTTTATGATTCACTGTGGAAAAACCCTTTTCTTAAGGGTTTGTCTAAGTGTTGTAAATATTGGAAATCT